GGTAAATGGAGGCCTCCGTCTTGCCTGCTGACATCCACTGTGGAGCACAGACAGGCAATGAGGGACAGGATCAGCTTTACACACCCACCAGGCCTGGGAATCCTGCAGTCAGTCTGGGCAAAGCACACAACACCCAGCACAAGCTGGGCCACGGCTCCACGCTGAAGCAGGCGCTACCCCAAAAGCCCCGAAATAGTTCAGCCCTCACAGCTTGGGGAAGAAGCAGCAAGCACAGCGTCTTCCACCTCCACCCCAGAACATGCGTCACTCCAAGGGAACCGGAGAGACGGGGACTACTCACAAAATACAGAGCTGAAAGCCTCCTCCTGCGCCCTCCAACCCGCAGCAGGAGCGACTACAGCCAGCAAACGACTGCTCTTAAAAGCCTCCTGCCACAGTGAGTCCACCCCCTCCCTACTTCATGGCCCTGTCACTAGGGAGTCTTTGTGACAAGCAGCCTAAATTCCAAGGCACAGGAATTAGATGGATCCCTTTTCCCTCCGCACTAGACTTTACATAATGGAAAATGCTCCCCATCTCCCCGAGGCTGCCTCTCTCCTGGGCACAAGCAGCCCAGCTTCTTTAAGTCAGTTCTCAGTGGTCATGCTCTCTCAGCGTCCAGGTATCTCCATTCCTTTCTCCTGATGACAGAGGACTCTCGGTTGTGAAGACAGGCAAGGAAATCAAATAAGAAATGACAAAGCCTGGTTCACAAAATATCAGGTTAATGATCACAGCCGGGCCACGAGAGCCTTCTAGGGCTGGTGACCTGTGTCGGCAGCCCCAGACACCCAGCAGAGAGGCAGGTGGCTGGGCTGGGCTGCGGGCGGCCAGGAGCGGTAAGTTAAAACCTCTCTTGGGTCTAAAGGACCAGACATGCCGGTGGAAAGCCTGGGCTGCTCTCCTGCCACCCACGGGACCTACCGCCGGGTGGCCATGCTGGCGCACGTCCATCTGGGCAAAGGAGCAGGTGTCGCCCACACCCACCACCTCCACTGTGAAGTTGCGGAAGAAGTCAACGATGTCCAAGGACTTGGGCCGCAGGCAGACGATGAGAATCAGGGGGGTAATGATGGGACTCAGGAGCTCCTCAAGGATGAAGACCTGAGCACAGAGATGACAGGCTCAGCACAAGCTTGAGGATGTCAAAAAACCCACAGTCCTAAAGTCAGGCCCCCAGCTCCAGCCCTCCACCTTCTGGGGCAGGGCATCTCTGATAAAGCTGCCTCACTCCTCTGCCAGCCCAGGAGCTGCTGGGGTCTCTGGCAGCTTCCCTCTCCTGCAGGGATGGGGGCAAGTCCCCATCCCAGCACCACAGAAGCCAAGCTCACCGCTTTGTACTGGAAGAGCTGGGCAAACTCGTCCCTGGTCTCGTAGCGGTGAGCATTTCCCTGCCAGTGGTCAGGCATGTAGTGGATGTGTGCCAGGATGACTCGCAGCAGCTGCTCCGGGCAAAACACCAGGTGCTGGTCAGGGATGAAAGACCTGTAGGACAGGAAAGGGAACCATCACAGCATCTCACCTCACTTCCTGGGAGCTCCCATCCTGCAAAGGCAGGGTGACCGGCCCGTATCGCAGCTCCACCAACACCCCTTCTATCATTCAACCACTGCACCTAAGATCACCAGCACCCCCTTCCCCCCCCTGCCCCCAACTCTCCCCAGCTGTGCCCTCCACTGAGGCAGATTCACGTCCGCGTGCAGCCAAAGGGCACATCTGCACAGCTGGTTGTCAGCCCCACCGCTCCCCACAGCCCCACCTCACCTGCACACCGTGATGCCCACCCCGAGCAGGGTGACCGTGGTCAGGACGTGCTCGACC